AACCTGGGGACACAATTCAAGCTTCAGTAAGTTTTGGGGGGACATAATTCGATCCATTACAGTCATGGTGTGTAATTTTTTATATGCAGTTTGCTAGTATTTTGATGAGGATTTCTTGCATCTATATTTATAAAATATATTGGTCTGTAGTTTTTGTTTGTTTTGGCTTTGATATCAGGGTAATACTGGCCTCATAAAATGAGTAAGGAGGTGTTCTTTTCTCTTCTTGTTTTGGAAGAGTTTGTAAAGGATGGTCATTAATTCTTTAAGTGTTTGATAGAATTTACTAGTGATGCCATCTCACTCTTGGTTTTTCTTTGTGGGAAGTTTATATTATTATTATTACTATTTCAGTCTCTATTTATTATAGGTCTAGTCAGATTTTCTATTATTCTTGAGTCCATTTTGTTAGTTTATGTCTTTCTAGGAATTTGTCCATTTCATCTAGGTTAACTAATTTGTCAGACTACAATTGTGTATAGTATTCTATTATAATCCTTTTTATTTCTGTAAGTTTGGTAGTAATGTCCCTTCTTTCATTCTTCCTTTTTCTTTCTTTCTTTACTTTTTTTTTCTTTTTCCTTTTGGTGCCTGGCTGGTACAGGGATCCTCTTTCATTCTTGATTTTAGTAATTTGAGTCTTTATTTTTTTTCTTAGTCCATCTAAAGTTTGTCAATTTTTTTCTGTAAGTAGAGCCATTTTTCAAAGGAAAAAGTTTCAATGGCTAGTTCATACTCCATAATTTGGAGTGAACAGTTTTATGCAATACATTTTTAAAATAGCTTTGGAGATATTCCAAATTTTTACATCTTTTCTTTTTTAACAATTACCACAAAGTTACTTTGGAGGTCAGAGTAGGATTGTTAAATACTAATTTAACCCCTAAAATACTATAGTGCAGATATTATCTCCAGTTCTTACCTTTTGAAGATACCAAGAATAAGCACTCTGATTGTAAATTATTTAAGTCACTGAAGATGTCATGTATCTTCATTCACAGGTTGGGCAAATTTGGGTTACCTGGGAACTGGAAATATTGGTTGGAGATTATTGTTTGTTTTGATGTTTATCCACAGTATTGTGTCTATTGTTTTGTTTTTTGTTTTTTTTTTTAAAGATGACCGGTAAGGGGATCTTAACCCTTGACTTGGTGTTGTCAGCACCACGCTCAGCCAGTGAGCAAACCGGCCATCCCTATATATGATCCGAACCCGGGGCCTTGGTGTTATCAGCACCGCACTCTCCCGAGTGAGCCACAGGCCGGCCCTATTGTTTTTGAAGGGAAATTCTTTCTCTTCTTTAAGGAATTCCTATCACTTAAAGAATTTTAGCCTTTCTGTTTCTAGAATAACAAATTGTTCATCTAGTAATTTAACATTAAGAAAAGTAAATAACTGGTAGAAGGAAAGTTCTTTGCACTTTAATGGACTGAAGACTTGACTTTGAGAGTGAGCCCCAAAATATGAGATTTTTCACTGGTAAGAGTTAAAAGTAATGAATCCTGGTAGGGGCTGGCTCAGATAGTTAGAGCATGATGTCATAACACCAGGGTCAAGGGTTAGGATCCCCCTACTGGTCAGCCACCAAAAACAAACAAAAAAACCTCCACTGTCTGTAGAAATAAAATTTGTTAATTTCTGTTTATAATTTGAAATCTTAATACATAGCTAAGTCCATGACTTGTAAAACACCACGCATAATTTTTTCTAACCAATGGAAATAAGAGCAAAATAAAAAGGTAAAATTAACTTTTTTCTGAGTCTAACTTTGATGGCATTATGGATAAAGGAAGCATTAATCATTGGTAAATTGACATTAAATTTATTAAACTATGTTTAACTTTTGGACCTAAACTAAATCACTTGAGTATTATTAGTGATATCTGTATAACATGCTATTTGGTTAATAATTAGATTTATAGTGTGTTTTTTATGTTGCCGTTTGGTTTGAAACAACACTTAAGCACACTATTTGTGTTAATGGTAGTTTTCAGACTAACAAGCTTGAGATCCTTGTTAATGTAGTGACTGCCTCTTAGGAGTATGGGACCAGAGGATGATCATATATTTTTACCCCATGGGTCATTCTAGTTGAGGGACTACTCGTGGAACCCTCAGAAGTTAACTCCTGTCATAGGGCTTGCTTAGTGGAAATTGATAATGTAATAAAATATTGAGGGTCTTTAATAGGTTTTAGGATGACCTTTTAATTCTGGTAACTACTTCCTTGGTACTGGTGTCCCTGATAGAGGGACTGTAACCTCTGGCAGTAATCTCATTGAGGTTATATTACCTGCCTAAATTTAATCTTACTTTTATGTATTTGTTTCCTGAGTTGGACCCAAGTTACTGTATTTCTTTTTCTTTTTCTTTCTTTTTTTTTTCTCCTGACCGGTAAGGGGATCGCAACCCTTGGCACAGTGTCGTCCGTACCACGCTCAGCCAGTGAGCGCACCGACCATCCCTATGTAGGATCCAAACCTGCAGCCTCGGCACTACCAGCGCTGCACTCACCCTATTGAGCCACGGGGTCGGCCCTTCTTTTTATTTTGTATTGTACAGTTTTTTTACCTTTTAAGTAAAATGCGTATATAAAATGTAAATACAAGGAATTCACTAAAACCCATCAAAACAATTACTGTGTAAATAAAATTTGTAAAAAAAAACTTTTAAAAAAGTTTGTCAATTTTCTTGATCTTTTCAAAGAACTAATTTTTGGTTTTATTGATTTTCTCTATTGATTTTCTATTCTCTGTTTTGTCTATCTCTAGTTTAATCTTTATTATTTCTTTCCTTCTGTTTTCTTTAAATTTAGTTTGCTCTTCCTTTACTAGTTTAAGGAAGGAAGCCATTTGTCAACTTGGGGAAAAAGCATTTTGGACAGAGGGAACAGCAAGTGCAAAGGTCCTGAGGCAAGACCCTGCCTGACATATTTAATGAATATTGAGGTCAATTTGGCAAGTGTAGGACTTTTACAAAACTTTACGTCATTCTCACTGAAAATATGATCTAGAAAATCTCCTGCTTAAACTTTAAAAAATTGGGGTGGTCTTTTAGTTCAGTTGTTTAGAGCATGGTGTTATAATACCAAGGTCAAGGGTTTGGATCCCTGGACCAGCCAGCCACAAAAAACCCAAACAAAGCAAACAAACAAGAAAAAAAACCACACACAAAATAAATTTTTAAAAATTTTAGTCTGAGAGTAATAGGAAGCCAGGGGAAGATTTTGAGCAGAAAGGTGACATGATATGATCTACATTTTAAAGAATCACTTTGGGGCCAGCCTGTGGCTCACTCGGGAGAGTGCGGTGCTGGTAACACCAAGGCCACAGGTTCGAATCCCTATATAGGGATGGCCGCTTAGCTCACTGGGTGAGCCTGGTGTTGACAACACCAAGTCAAGGGTTAAGATCCCCTTACCAGTCATCTTTTTTTTTTTTTTTCCCTTTTTGCCTTTTTTACTGACCAGTAACGGGATCGCAACCCTTGGTGTTGTGCCCGCCGCGCTCAGCCAGTGAGCGGGAACCTGCCTCCACATGGGATCCGAACCCTCGGCGGGAGCGCCGCCGCACTCTCAAGCAGCGCACTCTCCAGTGCGCCACCGGGCCAGCCCTTACCAGTCATCTTTTAAAAAAATAAATAAATAAAGGATCACTTTGGCTGCTCTATTGAAAATACACTGTTAGAAGGGAAAGGATGGACAGAGAGACAATTAAGTGACTATTGCAATAATCCAGGTGATATTTAAGGATGGCTTGGGTAAGTGCAGTAGCAGTGGAGAAAGTGGGAAATGGTCAGATTCTCACAGATTGGATGATGAGGTGAAGAGGAACAGAAGAGTCAGGATGACAAGGTTTTTGGTTTAAGGATCTGGAAGAATGAGTTGTTATTTACTGAGCTAGCAAAGACTATGAAGGGAGTATTTTGGGAGGAAGGGTATTAGAAGCTAAGGTCTGGACATGTTAGGTTTGCCATGCCTAGTTGACACCCATGTGGAAATGCCCAATAGGCAGTTGTATACGTAAAGTATTTTGGCAGCCCTGTAACATCATGGTCAAGGATTGGGATCCTCTTATCCGCCAGCTGCCAACAAAAAATATATAATATTTTGGCATCCAGGAGAAAGTGGATTAGAGTTATAATTTGGGAGTTATCAGTGTATGAAATGGTCAAGTTCTTTCGTGGTCACTATTGTTGTGGGAGTGGCCAAGGAGTCATTTAACAAATATGCATTGCCGAGCTGAGCACCTGCTTGGAGTGAGGCATGATGCACAGGTTTTAGGGTCGGGTAGTTGAAGGGAGAGGGTGCCATTTATTCACGGAGACAGAGAACACAGGAGGAGGTGCAGCTTTGGGGGAAAGGTGGTGGAATCCGCGCTGGATGCGTTGGTGTTTGCGGCGTTTGTGGAAGTGTCCAGGACAGCGTTGGCTGTATAGGGCTGAAGGTAAGAGAACAGGTCTGGGCTGGAGACTTGGCGGTGTAGTTGGCAACTGAAGCCACGGGAATAGTTGAGATAGGCCAGGGAAAGTGTAAGCTCCCGGCTGCCAGGAACAGGGATAACACATTCTTTTTTTCTTCTTTTTTTTAAAGTCAGTCAAATTTAGCATTGGGGCGTGGCATACCAACTTTAGTGACACTAATGTTAATAAGTTCTGATAACCCACTGCCATCGCACCAGCACATATTCATTTTTCATTTCCCTTAAGCTCCCGCCATCATCACACAGAATGCCCTACGTCGACAGCTGCTTAAGAATACTTTTGATTCCTCAGGGCCCTTCCCATCTTCCAGAGACTGCGGATAGAGGAAGGAGCTCAAAACCATCCCCGCCCTGGGCGTGCCGTAGCTCCGGTGACGTCACCGAGGAGGCGGGGCATCGAGGCGGCCCGCTCCCCGGAGTCCCGGGAGAGCGCCCCGGGCGTGGTCCTGGGTTGCACTAAGCCTGTCTCAGGGCTCTGCCTTCCCGGTCTGTTCCCGGCCGCCTCATTCCTTAGGCCGGCTAGAGCAGATCGCGTTCGGCCAGCAGTCCCTGGGTGCGGTCGTAGACATCCTCAGGATGCCCGGCGGCCCGCGCCTCCGCCTCTCTGGTTCCCGGACACTCCAGCTGGAGCCAGCGGCCGCGTCCCGGGAAGGCGAGGAATGCGAGGCGGGCTGCCTGACGGATGAGCCGGGGGTGGTGCGGGGCCAGGACCGTGCGGTAGGCGCCGCCGCACTGCACGCCGGCGTCCGGGCCTCCGAGAGTCGCGGTCGCCACCCGCTGGTGGCAGACCTGGGACCAGCGCAGCGCGCGGTGCAGCCAGAGCCACGTTCGTGAGCCCGAGGACCGGGCCGAGTCCGGGGGATGGTCCCGGGCCGCTCCAGCAGCCCCGCCCGCGCGCCGCTCCCACGCCTCCAGGGCCACCCGGGACGCGTAGTGCGCGGCATCTGAGAGGTGCACCCGAGCCTCGAGGGCTGCCACCTTGGTGAAGGCCTCGCTTGTGGCGAAGGCGAAGATGGAGCCGAGGAGAGTTAGGAACCTGTGTGTTTGGTGGTGGGATGGGGGAGATGATTTGACAGAGGGCGATGGAACCACAAGGAGGCGGGACTGGCTTGGGGGAGGGAGACCACTCACCCGACCTAGGTCCCTCCATCCTGCCACGTACTGCGACAAGTCCGCATCTCCTTTTGGGGTTCAGGCCGGCGCGGATCGGCCGCATCATGAGGCCCGGTATCCCCTGAGGGCCCAGACACGGAGACTCTTCCCGCCCAGGGGCGATCAGGGGGCCCGACTCTTGCCGGACCTGGGGGGTAGACACGAGGGAAGGGGGCGGGAGCAGAACCCCTAGCCTGCTGGACCTACTGAGCAAGCAGCCCAGTGGGGCTCTGAAGAAACTCTTTCTGAAGTCTAGCTGGTGTCCCTCTGTACTCCCAGCTTCTGGCGGGAGAGGGGAGACGAGAGAGAGGACCTGCCCTTCACCAGATCCTTAGGCCCAGCCCTGCCCCGAGCGTACTTGGAAGGGCGGCAGTCCCTCCGGAGTGCGTCCCTGTGTCCCAGATCTGCAGCCTGATAAGGCTCCCGGGGAGAAGAGAAGCGGAGCGGCAAGGGCTCGAGAAGGGGGCTTGGGTCCCGAGGGCCTGGACTCCTGGGTTCCTCCCGGACCAGGTGAGGGAAGGAGCTCCGAGCACTGAGAGAAAAGCAGCAGCGGAGCGAAGGTTGCTTGAGGAATTGCGTGGCGGAAACAGCGCCGCGGGGAGCACGACCACCTTGGCTGCTGCTGTGACCACCGCCCTCTCACCAGCCCCTAGCTAGCCCGTGTTGCTCCGCCCCCAGGAGGCAAGAGGAGCCCGCGGTGCCTTACGGCGGAAAGGGTTAATAATTAGCCAACTAAGTCCTCCTCCCCCGTGCCCTTTGCCCCAGAAGGCAGCTAACCTATGGTTTGGGATCGGATGAAGGGAATATGGGGGATGTGGCGGCGATGACACCTCTCAACATTTCTATTCCCCGTAGGGCCGAGGTACTCGGAAGAGAAGCTGGGGTCAGAACCAGCTCCTCTGAGCAATTGTGTGGGCCCTAAATTAACTCTGGGCTTGAGTTCTTTCCACTGTAAATTGAGGACTATAATAGGTACTTTGCAAGCCTCATGTGGGGATTAAATGATAATGTATGTGAAAACACTGTAAATGGAAAAGCTGACCATAATTGCCTCATAAATCTTACTCATTAGATTCGAGCACCCTGGGGGGCCTCTGGGAACCGGGGAACACCCACTCCTAAATTCTCTATCCTATCCCCAGGGGACCTTGTCTTGATCTGGATACATGACCTCTCAATCGTATTCTTTAGGCTTTCTCCTTTTACATTTTTGTGGTTTGACTTTTTAAACTCCAGATTGGCTCCTCATTCATCAAACCAACCTTATTAACTACTTCCAAAAAAAGAAAAACAAGAGAAAACAATAGAGAAAAAGGAAATAAAAGAAAAATAGTAACTACTTCCGCATGCCGGGCTCTGTACAGGCCTCTAGAATACAAAAGTGCCTTCACAGAGCTCAGGTTCCATTGGGGGAGAATTTATTATTTGGTTCCCCCACAGGAATGTGAGCTCTAATGAAGACAGGGCCCTTGTTTTTCTTGGTCGCCTACAGCGCTTAGAATATTGCTTGGGCCAAAACACATTATTGCTAAATAAATACTATTGAATAAACAAAGGAATGTGTATAAGGGCAGGCAAATCAGGAGTGGTGGTGCCCCCAATGAATTTAGTCAGGTATTTTTGTTTGCTTGTTTTTTGTTTTGCAAATTAGTAGTCCACCTGGCGGTCATGGGGTGTAAAGGCATTCCGGGAAAGGATACAAGGATACAGGAATCAATGGAAGAAAGTGTCATCTGTTCCTAGGGGTTCTCAGTCCCCTGTCCATAAACTTCTTAGGAATTGTTCCTGTCTCTCAGTGTATGTTTTCTTCGGGGGTGGGGAGAGGTGTCCCACATTCTCAAGGAGTCAAGGCCCCATCTTTAAGAAGACCCTAGCTCCTACAGTTCGTGGATTCTTGCCCTATCCTCACTCTGATACCCCCTCACATCCTTCATGTCCCTGGGCTGCTCCTGACCAATCCCGTCCGTAGGGGGATTCCCGTGAGATCACCTGATACCTCCCCCTGGTCTCTGCTCCCAGTGCTGGCGTGTTTCCCAGCTTGCTGGCTGTCACCTTCCCTGATTATATCTGAGCCCTAGTTCTCTCATCTACAAAATAGCAAGGGTAATTCCCACTCCTAAAATTGTTGTGAGGATTAAATAAAATACGTCTGCAATGCGCGAACCACACTCCATGGTCTATAGTAAACGTTCAGCAGGTGGTTATTTCATTTCTCCTGTCACTGTCCCCTCCTCCCGTAGCGCTGGGAGCCTCTGTCTGCCGAGTTCCGGGAGCGGATTAGTTTTGGGTGTCACTTAATCCTCAGGTCCTTCCGCAATCAGAGCTCTTGTAGGAACTGTGCTGGTATAAGCCCACGTAAGAGGCCTGGCTCACAAACGCTGCAGGATGGAGCGGGGCTCCGGAGTCAAGCTGCTGCTGCTGCTGTTACTGTGGGCGACCTGCTGCAGACATGCGTGCGCAGACGGACCCAGCGGCTACACGTTGGTCATTGAAGTGACCAACGGGGGTCCCTGGGGCGACTGGGCCTGGCCTGAGATGTGTCCTGACGGATTCTTCGCCAGCGGGTTCTCGCTCAAGGTGGGGGCTCAGGCCTAGGTCCTGGAGGGGGCGGAGAGGCACCAGACCGCAGAGCAGAGAATGGCAGACCCCTGACTCGTCTTAACTCCTCTCCTCGCCACCCAGGTGGAGCCTCCCCAAGGCATTCCTGGTGACGACACGGCTCTGAATGGGATTCGGCTGCACTGCGCGCGCGGGAACGCTGAGCGCAACACGCACGTGGTGGAGTCCCAGTCTGGAAGGTGGGAGGCAAACAGGGTGCCCTAGGGTGAGGGTATGTTCTCTACCCTCTGTTACACTCCCCCCTCTCTGCAGGCAGGCTCCTCAGAGCTATGGGGCTGTTTAACTGGGAGGTGTATGGAAGACCCCTCCGCACCTCGGTGGCGATGGGTGGTTAGACCCAACCCACCCGGGTCGTATAGCACCTGTTCCAAAGTTCCAAGGGCTGGGTAGGCCTAGAGGTGGGTAGGGGGCGCCAGCAGAGCCAGCACGCCTCCCGCTCGCTTGCAGGTGGGGCGCGTGGACTGAGCCGCTGTGGTGTCCCGGCGGCGGCTTCCTAGTGGCTTTCTCGCTTCGCGTGGAGGCACCCATGACCCCCGGAGACAACACGGCGGCGAACAACGTACGCTTCCGCTGCTCAGACGGCGCGGAGCTGGAGGGGCCTGGCCTGGGCTGGGGAGACTTTGGAGACTGGAGCGACGAGTGCCCCAAAGGCGCGTGCGGCTTGCAGACCAAGATCGAGCGGCCCAGAGGCCTCCGCGACGACACTGCGCTTAACGACGCGCGCTTATTCTGCTGCCGCAGCTGACGCCACCGCCCCCGCCGCCGGCTGCCCCGCCCGGAGGCCAGTCGCACCTCCAGCTATTAAAGCTGCTCTGTCTTGGCTTTGATGTCGCTTGTTTGGGGGATGGAAAACTGCGTCTCCCCGTTTCCCTCCTAAACTGGCATTGAACCAGGCCTACATTCGGGTTTGGTCTCAGGGGTCCACGGCAGACTGCTGAAAGTGACGGACGCATAGTCCTGCAAAACGCACGTAAACGTCATTTTTCGGACAAGTAAAGGAAGTCCCTGGCTTTCCGAGGCAGTCTGCAGACACTCCGCCCCCATGAAGAGCCAGGTTCTTTCCTTACTGAACCACCAGTAACTTAAGATTTTAAAACTTCGACCAAATTAGGAGGTGACAATGCTACATCGCCTTTCACGCTGGAGCTTGAGGCTAACGTATCTTTTCCATAGTTTCCACTTTTTTTCCCCCTACAAAACGCAAACAATGGCTTTTCTTTTTTTTTTAAAGATGACCGGTAAGGGGATCTTAACCCTTGACTTGGTGTTGTCAGCACCACGCTCAGCCAGTGAGCTAACCGGCCATCCCTATGTGGGATCCGAATCCGGGGCCTTGGTGTTATCAGCACCGCACTCTCCCGAGTGAGCCACGGGCCGGCCCAAAACAATGGCTTTTCTAAATTCGGATTCCCGTTTAGGACCTTTGTTCTTGCTGTCCTCTCTCCCTGGAGTCCCCCAGGTATCTAGATGGTTAGCGCGTCCACCCGATTTCAGCTCAAAATTCACTTTCTCAGCCTCTTCCTATCATAAAAATTAGTACCTCCATCAATCAATATCTATCCCATTACCAACGTGTTTTCTAAAAGCGTTTATCACCAATTGAAATAATTTTTTGCCTCTTTTTAAAAATTGCCCATCTCCCACCTCTAGGATGCTAAGTTCTTTGAATTTGCCTGTCTTGTTCACCACTGTGTTTCCAGTGCAACCTGATAGTTCAATAACCATTTTTTTTTTTTTTTTTAAAGATGACCGGTAAGGGGATCTTAACCCTTGACTTGGTGTTGTCAGCACCATGCTCTCCCAGTGAGCAAACCGGCCATCCCTATATGGGATCCGAACCCGTGGCCTTGGTGTTATCAGCACCGCACTCTCCCGAGTGAGCCACAGCCCAGCCCCTCAATAACCATTTGTTAAGAAAATAACAAGCGGGGTGCGGGGGCCCCAAGCACAAGAGTGGCTTTACACCAAGCCCCGGTGTATATGGAGACCCTCACACACTCCTTCTCGCACGAGGCACAATCTGAGACGAGGAAGAGCTCAGAGCAGTTTATTCCAGCCGTCCAGGGCGTCCAGGGCACGGGCAGGAGCGAGCAGGCGGATGGGGGGTCAGCGGAGCCTCAGTGAGGGGCGCCCTGCGGAGAAGAGAAATCGAGGAAGCCGCCGAGAGTGACAGGTTCCCTCTACAAGTCCACCCCACGCTGTCGTACCTCCTTTCCCCTGCAGTCCCCACAGAAGACACCAAGGGTCGCGTTCACCAGCTGTATCCCACACAGCACGATCTCCAGGCACGAGGCGGCCACCAGCAGCGAGAACAGCGTCACATTCCAAGCGACCACGTGAGGCGGTTCCTCGCACAAATCCCACTGGGTCTGGTTGCGCAAGTAAGCGCCTCTGTGGGCGGGGCAGGGTCACTTGAGAAAAGGAGGCCCCGCGGCGTGTCCCCCACCCCCCACCCCCGCGCACCCGTCGAAGGGGATTTGCAAAAGGCTCGTTGGGCCCACGTGGAGGCAGCTCTTCCGAAGTCGAGTCCCGCTCAAGTTTCCCGGTCCACGTGGGAAGGGCTGGTGGGGAGAGGCGGCACATTGGGGGCACAAGGTCTTACGAGGTCCCTTTGAAGTGGTAGTCCCACTTCCCGTTCATGAAGCACTTGGGTCCAATTTGGAGCGCGGCCGCCGACACCGCGAGGCAGTAGATGGCCCCGAGCACCCCGAACGCCGAGCAGAAGACCGAGCGCAGCATCTGGATGCGGTGGGGAAGGGGAGCTGAGTGGGGGCGCCCCCATTTACCGCGCTCTGATTGAGTCTGTTAAACATACATTTCCCATGAAACCCCCGGGGCTTGGAATTAGTAATCCTCAGAGCCAGAGGCCGCTGAGATTCAGGGGGGTTGTAGTCCCCCCTGGTCGGTTCGGTGAGACCTAAAATGTGCGGGTGCGAGGGAGGGGTGACGTGGAGCCTGGGACTCTGCAGAGGGGCTCTTGTAGCTAGAAATTCTATAGAGGGTGCTGTGGCTCTGAGAGGACACTTTCAGAAACCGAGTCTTGAACCCCTTGTTGATTTGGATCTTACCCTGCAGCGATTTCCACAGCAGCCTGCACCACAACAGCCCTTGCCCCCTGCCCGAACGGCTGCAATTCCCGGACATAGTACCTGTGGGACAAGAGTCAGTGTCATAGTGCGTCCCCCCAGATCCTCAAGGCCTTACTGGCATCAGTGCTTATCTCCTCTCAGCCCTTTGGACTATAGGAAGACCTGGTCTGTGCTTCTCCTGGAGCACTGTGGGACTCTATCTTAATTTATCACTGTGTAGCCTCCTGAAGTATAGGGTCCAATATCATTACATTCCCCGTAAATCTTGACACTTAGTAGATGTCTACCTGAGTGGGAGGCAGGAGACCTGGGTTTAAGGCCAACCCTGCACTACTTCACATTTTTTGAATTGATTTTGCTCTGTGGGTCTCAGTTTTGTCCTACGTAAAATGGGTCTGCAAGACCCACCTCACAGGGATGTTCCCAGGATTTAATGAGATAGCAGGTTTACTTCGTGTCAAGACTGGCTCGGAGTAAATGCTCAATAACTATAAATTCCCTCAGCATCAGGAAGGAATATTGGTGTTGGGGTGTCTTGTGAGCTGGGATTATGGTGGGATGTGGAAGAGTATGTTACTGGATATTATAATGTGGATGTAGGATTTCTCAAGATTTGGTCCCTGCTCTTTTTTTCTCTCTGTGGTCTTCCCCACTAAGCCCATCCCCTTCCAGGGAATCAGCTTTTTCATCTGCCAATAATCACCTCCAAAAGCGATGCCTCCAAATCCAAACCTAACTGCCTGAAGGATATGTTCATGTGAGTCTTGATTTTAGCTCGAATTCAGCCAGCCTCTTACTGACCTCCCAATATTCCCCAAATCTACCTCCCTTTGACTGTCAATTCTCCATCAGTGGAAAAATATTGTCTTCCAGGTCACCAAGGCTAGAAAACTTTAGTCCTCCTATACCCAGCCAGACATCAAGTCTTCTCGACTTTTTCTTAAATGACTGCAGAATGTCAGTCCTCTTTCCTTCTTCCCCACATGCAATCCCTCATCAGCTCCCATGAGGATAATTTTCTCAGCATTCCTATGAAGTTCCCATAGCTCTTGTCCCATGCCACCCCACACTCTATCCTACATGCCGCCACCAGATTAAACATAGCTTTCAACTGGTCTTTCTTCTGCTCAAATCTTTAGGGACTCTTCACAGAGTAGCCCATCAAGACTGAACTCTAGCAAGTTATTTGAGGCTTCACCCTCCAACTCCAGCCTTATCTTTTCTTTGTTGCATCAGGCCAAGTTCTTTGCTCATCTCCCATCTCTGGAATTCCACAGCTGTCCTTTTTTTTTTTTTTTTTTTTGCAGCTAGCTTGTATGGGGATCTGAGCCCTTGACCCTGGTGTTATAAGGCAGCACTCTAACCAACTGAGCTAACTGACCAGCCCTTCCACAGCTGTCTTCATCTTTGCTTCCCTATTGTCTGGCACACACCATACAGGGCCAGATTTTGTTCTACGAGAAAGGGGCTGAGAGTTTTAGTTCTATTATATCATCCAGAGAAACCTCAGAGAAACACCTGCTGAGTTGAACTGACTTTCCACTGGTTACTGTCCCCTCTTCCTGTCTCATGGCAGGTTTAGTGCTGGTGCTAACCCCCTTGCTTAGCCTCTCTGGTTAGGTCACTTACTGGGAGATGCCTGGAACCAAAGACACCTAGAATTATCTTTTGGATTTATCAATTTTGAATGGCCTACTTGTTTGATATTTTTACTTTTTTGGTCAAAGTGTTTTCTTCCCTTTGTGGTCTGAGCTTCTCTGTCTCAGCCTCTGCCATCTAATTGTCTTTTTTTTTTTTTCTTTTTGTCTTTTTTCGTGACCGGCAACGGATCGCAACCCTCAGTGTCGCGCCCATACCGGGCCACGACCGGCAACGGGATCGCAACCCTCGGTGTTGCTCCTGCACCTCACTCAGCCAGTGAGCGGCCGGTCTGTATGTGGGATCCGAACCCTCGGCGGGAGCGCTGCCGCGCTTCCCAAGCAGCGCACTGTAGCAGTGCGCCACCGGGCTGGCCCTGCCATCTAATTGTCTTAATGACAAGAAAAGGGGCATCATAAACACAGGAGGAAACAATGAGTTTATAGCTCCGATCTGCTCACTTTTCTCCACCTCCATGGCCACTGGCCTACTCCAAGCCACTATCATCTCTCCTGGACAATTACAGTGACCTCAGTCTGGTCTTTCTGCATCAATTGCTGACATCCTATTATCCATTCTCCACACAATGGCCAGAGGGATCTTCTTAAATCCAGTGGGGCGTGGAACAACAACTGTCACATTGTGCTGATGGGAATGAAATTGGTACAAGAACTTCGGAAAACTGTTTGGCAGTATCTATTAGCACTGAATATTTGAATCAGCAAATTTCACTCCTGGGTAAACAACAAAAACACACATGTCTATTCACTTAAAGACATCTACAAGAATATTTATAGCAGCATTATTTGCAATAAATCCAAATTGGGAACTATCCAAATGTCCATCAGCAGTAGAATGTTTAAATAAATCGAGGTATATTTATACAATGGAATGCACAAGAAATAAAAAAAACTACTTCTTCACATAATAATATGGATGGCTCTCACAAATGTAGTATTGTGCTCAAGCAGTCACGCATGAAGAGCACACACTATGATTCCATTTATGTGAAGTACTAAACAGGCCAAACTAGTCTACGGGGTTAAAAGACAGGATAGTGGTTTCCCTTGTTGATGGAGGGTAGTGCCTGGTGAGAGGTGTGTCTGGGATTCTGGTAATGATCTGTTTCTTGTTTTGGGTTCAGGGTACTTGGATGTGCTCACTTTGTAAAAATTCATCAAGCTGTATACTAAGGATCTGGACACTAGTCTGTACGGCTGAAATAAAAAACTTTTTAAAAGTTTTAAAATATCAAAAAAAAAAAAAAAAAAGTTTAGGGGCTGGCCCGTGGCTCACTCGGGAGAGTGCGGTACTGATAACACCAAGGCCCCGGGTTCGGATCCCATATAGGGATGGCCGGTTAGCTCACTGGGTGAGTGTGGTGCTGACAACACCAAGTCAAGGGTTAAGATCCCCTTACCGGTCATCTTTAAAAAAAAAAAAAAAGTTTAAAAGTCCTTCAGTAGTTTTCTGTTGTACTTATAATAAAATTTAAATTACTCACTGTGGCTTTCAAGGATGTACAGTCTGGCCTCTACTCACCTCAGACCTCATCTCATTAAACCTCAGCTACACCGGCTGTCTGTTTGCAGTGCTCACACCTTCTTTTTGTTGTGTGGATCTCAGTTCAGACATCACTTCATGCAGGCATTCTCTGAAAATGCTATAAAAAGTACCCCCCAGGGGGCCGGCCTGTGGCTCACTCGGGAGAGTGTGGTGCTGATAACACCAAGGCCACAGGTTCGGATCCCATATAGGGATGGCCGGTTGCTCACTGGGTGAGCGTGGTGCTGACAACACCAAGTCAAGGGTTAAGATCCCCTTACCGGTCATCTTTAAAAAAAAAAAAAAAAAAGTACCCCCTCACCTTGCCATAGGAGCTCTTTATGGTAGAACTCTGCTTTATTTTTTGGATGGTACCAACTCCTATCTGAAATTTTCTTGCCTGTTTATTTGCTTCATTTATTCAGCGACTATTAATTGAGTGCCTGTTAAGTGCAAGGCCCTGCTCTAGACACTGGGCACAGCAGCCAATAAAACAGGCAGTCCTTACTCTCAGGGGGCTTACAGTCTTGCTTCCTTGATTCTGTTTGCCTCACCAATGGGAATACAAGCTTCAAGGGGAGCAGAGACCTTGTCTGTGTCCCTGTGGCATAGTGTGGTCCTTCCTGAGAGTGACTCTGGGCACGGAGGTGGAAGGAAGGCAGCTGTGAATGAGTATGTTGGGAGGGCAGCCTCAGAGCTCTCCTTTGAAGCAGGCTGGTTAGATTGGGTGGAGGACTGTGGGCAGGTGGGGGTGGTTTAGGCTGGAGAAGGGGCATGATGTGACACTGGGTAAGTGTGTAAGTCTGGGAGGAGTGTGACATCTCAGAGAGAGGTCAAATGGATGGAGGAGAGTCCAACAGCCATGAATCCGTGCAGGAGGAAGGGAGTAGGAGGGACGACCCCAGAGGGTAAGAGGGGACTTGTTGGTCAAAGGAGAGCTATCCCCATTTAGCTAGCAGAGGTGTGACCAGCAAAAGGGACAAAGGTGAGACCTGTCCTGGAGAATGTCATTAGTTAACCATGCTGAGAAGTGGGGAACTGTGCTGAGTCGATATGTTGTCTTTCTCCTGTGAAGATGTTAAACTAGGTTGAACATCCAAAAGTTCCTCTAATGGGGAGGAAGTTGGAGGATGGGTGTTAGGAAGTCCAAGATATCCGGGTCTCCCCTTCTCCCGACACATCCTGGTCTCTAGGAGGACTTGGGGCACCTTCTCTGCCTTACTGATCTAGGTTCTGAGTTCATCCTTAGCTCCCAGCACAGAGTGGACATCCAGACATGTGGAGGCAGTGGAGGGGAACACCGAGCTGATAGGTAGAGTGACCGATCTGTGATGTCACTCCCTGGCTCCAGATATTTCCACTGCACCCCACCCCTATGCCTATTGTTCCCATGCCCTGATAATCTTGCACACAGCCAGCCGCTGCTTCTGCCTTGACCCTTGTAGTGAGGTGTTTCCAGCATTTGTACAACAGTGGGGGTGGGGAAGGGCAGGTAGCACATGCTGCTTATCCAGAAGGGAAGCTGTTGAGAGCACTGAGGCTCCCTTCCCTCCCGTTCCCCTCAGACATTCAGCTCAGGACCCTGGGGTTCTTCCAGGATTGTCAGAGTGTAGGGGGCAGGTTGGCCAGCTCCTAGCTGTCCCCGCCATGCCATTGCTATCCCCTCCCAGATAACTGTCCTTTTCCCCCTCTTCCTCTCCCTACTGTTCAGAACCCCTTAGAGTGGTGTCCCGGCCCGGCCCCTGCTTCCTCACCATCAGGCCCCCGCCGATGAAGCCAGCCATGTACCAGACTTGCGAGGTGAGGTTCTCATTGGTCCAGGTGGTCTTCCCATTAGGCACCAGCAGGAGGGTGTTGGCCAGGATGCAGACCAGGGAGAGGGGAATGAGGGAGAGCCCTACACAGCGGGCACACTTTCCTGTGCACATGGCAGGACGCTGGGAAGGACAGGCAGTAAGTGAAAGCAAGCTGGAGGTTCTCAGGTCCAGGGGAGCAAAGGTCAGGGAAGAGGTGTGGCAGAAACTGGCAGGATCAGAATGATAAGGGAGAGAGACACAGGACACAGGTGCCGAGGAGGAGGAGGTGCAGGGGCTGCAGCCTGTGAGGTGGCGGGGAGGATGTCGTGGGGGAGCTTGACACACAAAGGAAGTTGCCTGGAGTCAGTGCCTTTGTCCTTTCTGCACACACCTCTCCACAGCCCCTCTGCTGGTTTCTTACCTGCTTTGCGACTTAGCCAAGTCCCTTAATGCTGCTGTCTCAGTTGCCTCATCTGTATAGAGTATAGTGATGTCACTTGCCTTGTGGGCTGGTTGTGAGGGTTAAATGCAGCAATGTGGGAAGGATTTTGTAAACTAAGAAGCTCTAAGCAGATGTGTGCTGGCCTCATCATCTCCATTAGTCCCACAGGGAGAGTTCTTCCTAGAGAGAAAGTAGAAAGATGAGGGTGGCCTTTCCTTGTCCTTTCATTTCTTCTCATTCTTTATTTATTGAATCCTCCTCCTGTTGAAGCCACGACCTGTTTCTCAGGGTGGGTTCAAGACCAAGGCCTGATTGATTAGAGCATTTCATCCCTCTGACTCAGCGTGTGATTCAGCAATGGCCATGTGATCCAAGCCAGTCCCATGAGAGTCAAATTCTGGGTTTTTTTTTTTGTTGGTGGTGGTGGTGTTCTGAGGTCAAAGAACTTCTGTTTTTGTTGGGGTGCTGAAGTTGCTGGTGGCCTGTTGTCACCACAAAGGAGGGCGACCTGTTCTAGAGGGAAGTCAATCCAGAGGGAAGAATAATCAAGAGATGGGAAGAGATTAAGTCTGGATGACATTGTTTGAATTCACAGATCCAGCTATGCCTGAAGCCTGATCGTTCTTTGGAAAGTTTTGATTATGTGAACCTGTTTGAATTGTGTTTCTGTAAACCACCTTGTAAAGAGTCTTTTTTGACACAGAGATTCATTCATTAAGTTCTTGCTATGGACAGAGCCTAGTGCTGGATACTGTAGGGATTCAGTTGTATGACTGAGACTCAGATGTGAGTCTCAGGAGTAAACAGGAGAGTGAAGGCTCCTGCAGAGTTAACCCGAGCCCAAGTAGGATGGAGCAGTGCCTTGGAAGAGATGAGGGTAGCAGGAAGTGCCGCAGGACTTCGAAGGGCACGCGATGAGGATGTCACACAGAAAGTGGTGCCCAGCCAGTGACCTCTGATGTAGCTTCTCCCAGTAGCCCACTCAAACCACTACAGAGACGTAGAAAATGGAGAGAATTTACCACTCAAAATTGATGCCAGAATCTGGGAGGAATCCCTACTATTCATAAGACAGAGGAGCTGGATTGAGGAAAAATCTGTGAAGAATTTACCTCTCGAATCAGAGGATGCCTGAAAAAAGAAAATACTCTGAACCTCCCCCAGCTGTTTGCCTCTGATTCATGGACAGTTATTGTGATAACTGATAAATTGGGTTTGCATATGTTGGGTTGTTTAATGCTTTAAAAAATATTTCCATGTTGCTTCTGATGTTTTTCTGTCCCTTTTCTTTAAAATTTGTAACATTCTCCTGTGTTTTAGAAGGAGTGTTTCAAATCCCAGTAGTGGTAGTGGTTACTTTTAAGTATTGCAGAAGTATCCTTTAACTTGTCACTTGCTGTTTCTGAGAAGCCACAGACTGCCTGTCATCATCTGTGCAGCTTCCTTTGAGAGGTTCTGTGCAGACAGTTTACCATGTGTAAAGCCTATGATATGACCACATGATCCTGTCGTAAAAATGGGACTATTTGTTCCAGTTCTCCAGTCCTCCCCGTGTTCATGTTGTTTGCTATGCCATTTTTGTAGTCCCTCTCACTAGAGATAGAATGTACCTCTCACCATATGGGCAGAATGGAATATGGGCAGAAGTGACAATACCCCAGTTTTGAGCCTTGACCTTAAGAGGCACTGCACATTGCCACTTGTCACTATTATTGCTATGAGGAGAACATGCCTGTGTTAACCCACTGGAAAAAGGAAGGTGTAAGATACAAGGAAAAGTCCCAGATTGGATCCCAGCCTAGATCAGCTGACCTCCAAGCAACCCATACACGTGTGAATGAAATAAATGCATATATTTGTAATTCACTAAGACTTTGTGGGGGTTTTTTTTTGTTACACAGCAATAGCTGCCTGACACAGACCCTATTATTCAGGCCACAGCTGATTGATGGAGGAGTGAATAGCTGACCCAAAGGCAGACATGTAGCCAGAGATCTATAAGGTTGCTTGAGGTGAGAGCTCTGACCACAGAAGGACCCTGACTGAATGATGGCTGATCAATGATTGTCTCTTCATTCATGGGAAATTTGTCTGTGAGACAACCTGAGAGAATCATCAGATTGTAGGGTGGCCCCAAACTGAGAGATGGACGAAAGGAGAGAGTGAGCAAAGGCCACGAGGAAACTGAAACCATAAGTGAGCAGAAGCCTAATAGGGAAATTTTGTAGAGAGCAGTTATTCTGAAACAGTGCAGGAGGAAGAAGCTTGAGGACTGGGAAGTGGCGACAGAGAGTCTGGGTCCTCATGGAGGCGGTGGTGAGAGGTACTGTTGGATCACCAGTGCTAATGGTGAACTACCGAGCAAGTGTCATGTCCTGAATAGTGGGACTTCCCACTGTAGTCCTGAAGAGGGGATTCAGCCACTGTCCCAATGCACAGAGAGTGGAGCCAAGAACAAGCTATGTATTTGTCCACAAGTTGATCAATATTGAGTCTGATAGATGATACTTTTTTTTTTAAGGTAAGTAAAGAGAAAAAAAGCTGTGTGTGGGGGATGGTCCACAGGTTCTCGTTATGTTAGTTTTATACAACTCTGTATGGATGAAATAATAATAATGTTAACACCGTAGGGACAATATAGGAATTCTGAAAAATTTTCTCCAAACAAGGGAAGGGGCACATCGTCCCAAAGACTGAAAGAAAGAGACAGAGCTCTGGAGAAATATTTACTGTAGGATTTTTTCAGGAAGGTTTTTGGTGACATCACTAGAATTCTCCTGGAAGGAAGAGCAGAGTGCCTTAAAAAAGAAAAGGCTGAGATGAAAAGGTGCTAGCATGTATTTGGGAGAGAGAAGAGAGAATTGCTCAAAAACTCAACATGCACAAGGAGAATTAGGAAGCGCTAAAGAGTAGCATTGAAACTGGGAAAAAGTGAATGAGGGACGCAGACGACAAACTTGAGAAAACTCTCAAATTCAGAGGAAAAGGACCAAAAGATGAGAAAAAAGGATGGGCAATGAAAACAGTGGGAGGGAAAACGATAGATGTTGGGAGAGAACACAGATTTAGGGTAAGGAAACTGGCTGCTCCCAAAGAGAAGAACAGAGCCGGCAGAGGTGACGCTGCAGTTAAAACATCTTCACTAGGACAACACTTCACTGAGCTTAGATCCACTCGGGTTAGCAGGTTGAAAGGTACACTGTTCTCAGGTAAAATGTTAAAAGTCAGTTGATCCTAGATGCATCCTGATGAAACACATCTAGGCAGAATTAAAAGGGCTACTTAGAAAGGAGCAAAAGTTGGTCTGGCCAGAGACTTCCCTGCAATATTAAATGCCAGAAAACAAAGGAGTAAAGCCTGTCTCTATATCAACAACAAAAAAGTTACCACTCACTTATTGTGCACATGTCCAAGTTGATTTTTATGTGCAAAGGGCAATAGAATTACATTTCTGAGAATGTTTTGATTTACAAATACCACTGTGTCTCTTCCTTTTTTTTGAAATAATGTTAGCTCACGGAGAGATGAAGTAAAATAAAAACCTCAAAATGGGAAGTCTTGGCATAAGTCTGAATAATTTTTATAAATCTGGTTACAAAACTGGATGTAAGTTTAAAGAAAATATTTATTTATTTATTTATTTTCCTCAGCAGCAAACTTTATTTATTTATTCTTAAAGAAAATGTAATTTTATTAATATATTTTTTTACATTCTAGGATGTTGTTGCAGAGCAGTTGAGACAGAGGGGGAGAAGAGAAAGGGGAAAGAAATGTGATAAAAGGGGGAGGAAGGAGGAGGGGTGGGATTGAGGCTTGTGGCACCCCCCACATTTGAGACCAGGAGGCTTCCAGCAGTGGCTTGGTCATTGCCGGGCTGGGTGCAGATGTTGGGGGATGTGGCAAAAGCCCTTGCCGCTCAGCGCCCCAGTTCAGAAACCTTCTTGCTGCAGCTTGGTGGTCATCACTGGGCTGGTTGCATGTCAGGGGGCATGGCCGAGGTGCTTGGCCCCCCACTGCCCTGGCTCTGGAGAGCCCGGGGCACTTCCTGTGGTGGCCTGATGGTCGCTGCTGGGTGGGTTGTGGGTGTCAAGGGGGGCGTGGCCAAGGCCCGAGGCCCTCCACTGCCCCAGCTCGGGAGAGCCTGCCGCACTTCCTGCGGTAGCTTGGTGGTCATCACTGGGGTGGTTGTGCGTGTCAGGGGGGTGTGGCCGAGGCCCTCGTCTCCCACCCTCAGGAGTGGTCATGGGTGTCGGGGGGCATGTTTGAGCCTACTTTCTGGCTTGGTAGTCCAGGGGACTTGCAGTCCTTCTAGGTGTTATAGGTGTTCTTTGGTGAAATTAGACATCTATTACTTAATATCAAACTTTGTCTTTGGTTGCTAGTACTTTGTTTTTTCTTTCAGTTCTCTGTTGGATTATTTGCTGTTCGCACGACTTAAACTCTGCACTGGGACTAATTTGCTGTCCTTTGCTTACTTCTAAAATGGGAGAACTTCCTGTGGGGACCAGTACTTGAGCTCTGTGGTTGAGCTTAATTGCTGCTTTGCTGCTGATTCCCTATGGAAGGCTTTTTGTGCAGCTCAGATTTTAATGGTTGACTTTATAGGTACTTCCAGATCTAGTGATATCTGGTGCACTTGGGTTGTGTAGAAGCTCTGGTTTGGGCCTGAGTCTTTTCATCAAACTGTACC